GGCAGGGCATCAGACTGGACATCTGGAGGTTTGGGGCCGGGTCCAGCTTGCTGCAGCTTTGCTGGGTGACCTTAAGCAGATTACTCGGCCTCTCAGTGCCCCACCTGCCGCCTGCCTTCTCCCTGTCTGGCAAGGCTTCCTGGAGGGAATATTAATGGGGTAGTTCAGGGAAGCCTGGATACTACAGAGCCTCACTCTTAGCCATTCCTGTCATGCCAGGGGTGGGTGGGGTTATCAGGAGCCTTCCGGCTGAAAGCATTTTAAGAGCCTCCCAGACACCACTGCCCAGGGCTGCAGCAAGGTGATGGAAGGACCCTCGAAGGAGGTTGTGGCCCTGGAGAACAGGAAGGACTGTGAGGATACATCCATGGACTTCTCCCACTGCCGAGGGAGAACTGGTCCAGCATCCAGCACCATGAAGACACTGCTGGGTAGAGATCTGAGCATCTGGCCTCCTGGGTCTTCTGTTTCTCCAGCCTCCCTTCCCAGACCCTGTGTGTTTTGGTGTGCGGTAGAACCCTGTCAATTCCTACAATGGCGGGGGTGTGGCTCAGTGGATAAAGAGCACTTGCTATGGCAGCAGAGACTGGAGTTTTGATACCTAGCCCCTGTGTAAAAGCTGGGTGTGGCTGCATGTGCTGTAACCCCAGCACTGGAGTCGGGGAGGCTGGTGATGCTTGCTGATAGTCAGATTTGCCAAAAAGCAAAATGAAACAAACAAACAAAAAAGCCCCAGTGAGTCCCATGTTCACTGTGAGACCATCTCAAGTGAGAGTGATAATGTAGAGAGAGAGAATAAACACACAAAAGTTCTGCTCTGGCCTCTACAGTGTACATGGGCGCAGGCACTCATGCCTGCACACACACATGCACACGCATGCACACACGCACCCCATGAAATGAAATCCCCTCAATGAAGGTATCTTCATTGACTTTCTGTCTTGTGGGGAATCAGGTGCCTCCTCTGGTACCTGGACCCCTCTCTGCAGCCTGCTCTGAGGCCTTCTGTTCACCATGCACAAGGTTCACATAACCACTACCTGATCTCAGGACCTCGTGCACTTATGTGGAATCCCAGGCCTGCCCATGTTGGGCCTGCTGCCTGGAAGGTGTCCTCATCTTGTCTCCAGGGTGGACTGATCACCCTTTGTCACCATGGCCGCACGTCCTGCACTCTCTGCACAGCGCCTGCTCTAAACTATTCCCAGGGACATAGCCTGGCTCCTTCCGCTTTGGCCCTGAAGCATCCTGGCCCACTCTTACCAGAACTCCACAGATGGTGCCTACCCTCCAGCCTAGTGGGATTCCAGAATAGACCCAGTTTGGGCTGCAGCAGATGCTCTGTAGATGAGCACTGAGGAAAAGCCCGAAAGGTCGAGGGAAGCCTGCTGGCCCCTCCGGTTTCTGGCTCCCCTTCTTCCTCCAAGCACACTCTTGAACTAAGTCCTCCGGTGCTTTGCCCAAGAAGCAGCGGCTCTCCCGGGCTTCTCCCGTTGCTCTGAGGCCTTCTGTGATGGCTCCTGCAGCCACGCTTCCCCCACTGTGACAGACTGTCTCCTCAAACTGAACCAAAGCAAAGCCTTCCTCTGCATTCGGTCACAGCGGTGAGGAGAGGATGCGACATCACACCCCGGCGTGGCAGGTCTAGTCTGGGCCTGTCCACCTTAAGCTCCTGTCTCCCATATGTGTGTGATTCAGATACGTGTACATGTGTGTGTACATGTGTGTAGAGGCCAGAGGTCAACGCCAAGTGTCTTTCTCAACTACTCTCCACTCCATCCATCCATCCATCCATCCATCCATCCATCCATCCATCACCTATCTATCATCTGTCTATCTATCTATCTATCTATCTATCTATCTATCTATCTATCTATCATCTATCTATCTATC